TTCCGCACTTCCAAACAAATTTGTCTTTGGTCTTACTACAAGCTCGCCAATCCATACCTCTAGAGCAATATACACAACACATGCTTCTTTTGATCAATCTGATGGATTTAAGAAAGTTGATAATACAATTTATACCAGTATTAATAATTGGCAAAATTGTCTTCTGAAAAAAAATTCTTTCCATATAAGGGTAAAAATAATACCGCAGTTATTCCTCCCCTGGGGGAAATAACCGCACTGATTTGAAATTTTTGTATATGAGTTTCAATTTAAGTGAAAATTCTTAAGAAAAAGAATGCTGAAATGTTCGAAGTGAGTTTAAAAATTTTTAATGCTCGAATAAAACTTTTTATTATTTTTAATTTTTTTTAACCTTCTTGAAGCGTAGTTAAAGAGCGCCCACTTATCAATATGTATAATACTTCTTTTGGCAACATATTTGGTAATTAAAGTAATAAGAGTTAATTCATCGTTTTTGTAAACGAAGTAGAAAAATGCGTCGTTAAGATGTTTTCTCAACAATTCTGAGTACCCAAACACCGTCAACTCTATGACCACAATTACATTTCCGTTTGCCAAACTTGCTCTCGTCAATTTCGACGGCAATGCCTTATCCGCTTATCATCCGAGGTCTTGTTAAATAGTATCCGGCCTTTTTAAATATTTTTCTGACTGCATTTTTGCTAATACTAGTTATTGAACATATGGTTTTGACAGAATTTGTATATAGAATTAAAAAAAGCTCTGCAAATTATTTTCTGGCATAATTTTGGATTATAAAACGGGGGTTTTCTAAAGAGAAGAGTGTTTCTTCTGCACCTTTTCTCTGTGCACTTAATAACATTTTTATTACTTCATGTTCAGCTGTATATCCCTAAACAATGGGTAAAAAAATCCAGATAGCTTTTTATGCACTTCGTCTTCAAAAATATTCAAATTTTTTTCAAATTTTTCATCTTGTTTCTTCGTTGTGTCCATGAAAATTAGGGGTTAAAAAAAATTAAATTCCCTCAAAGGGTGCCTTTAAAGGTCTCCTGCTCCAAATAAATTTATAGCTTTAAATAGATTAAAATTTACAAACAAACAATTGTTAAATGAAGATGCTAAAGCTGTATGTATAAGATTTAAATAGTAAGTTAACTATTTCCTTTAGAATAATGATTGTGTAAATAGATTAGATGTAAACAAACAAAATAAAATTGTAATCATGTGCTGGTTGCATCATGACAATATTGCAAACAAACATTCTTGTTTAATAAATTAAAATATATACATGTGGAACAAGTTATTACCATAATATCTTACTTT